AGGGTGGGAATGGAGAAATGGCTTTTTTTTCTACATGCATTTATGAATTATTTGAATTTTTGTAGAGAATGCATGGATGTGCTCTCACTTAAATTTAAACATAACTCTGGCCACTCTGTGGAAGGTGAATTATAGAGATGATAGCAGTTCTGAAGCAGCAGATTGTTTGAAGAAGGAAATTTCATTTTTACAATTGTGAAATTATCTTCCAATTAAAAAGGAGCTTGTCATGAGAATTTTGTACTTTGTGGATCTTAAATGGTTTATTTCCTTAAAGTTACTACAATTATCCAGGCCAAAGAGGCTGAGATTCCAAACTGCTGGAATGAGGATTGCAGAGAACATGTAAAGAATTTTAGGAAGAGAAAGTGATTGCATTTAGTAAATATGGAAGAGTGTGGGAGGAAATTAGAGTGAGCAGTAAAATTGACGTAGAGAACACAGGAAGGAGAACAGATTTAAGGATGATAGTGAATTAATTTGACAATGTTGAGGACCTATGGGAAAATCTCACCGACGCATTCTGGCATGTGGTTTGAAAGAATGAACTGGTACTCTGGAAGTCATTCTCATTTAGATGACATTTTACATGAATGTTATTGGTAATCGTGATGACCAAAGGAATCCTGACATGTTAGAAGCCACTAACATGTTAAGAAGCTAGCAAAGCAGCCCTGAAGCCGATGCAAAACATGTGGTGTTGGAATTGTATCCAGCATTCCAAGGAGGAAGATGATGGGAGTGGTCAGGTCACGCTCTGGAGGAAGTGGAATGAAAATTAATCATAATTTGTGTTATTGGAGATACTGGCAAGAATGAATTATGGTGGAGAGCCCTCTAGTGGAAGGGAGCATGGTGTTTGAGGAACAGATAGCCTGATGCACCTGCTCAGAAAATAATGTGAATGAGGCTGGAAAGGCCTTTTCTTCCTTTGAATCACATGTGATAACTTTCTTATTGGAAAGAAATTAATCAGGGGTTAGTTTTAGTCTCTCAATGTGTGAAGGTTATATGTAAATTTTTTCTTTTCCTCTACCCTGTCAAAGGTAGATAAGATGAAGTTTTGAGGAGCTAAAACTCGTGGGCAATGACATTTTCTTCTGCAATGGGAAGCAGGGGGGAAGTTAGGGAAATTTTCTCCTGAGGAAAAGTATCAAATCTGACAATAACAAGAGGCTGCCTGGGTTTATGATGCTGTGCTCAGCTGCAGGACCAAAGGATGAGTTCAAGCAGGCTTACCTGTCTATTAACAGGCTGCTAAGAAAAATCACTGTAAAATGTGTCCTTTTATGCTTTTATTTTTTTTACAGTGCCTCTTTGGAAAAACTACCTGCTTTTTTTTTTTTTCTGTTTATTATATGAATACTGAGATTAAATTTAGAGGGAAGAAATTCTTGTTTATTTGTTGCTCATACAAAAGACAAGACAAGAGAATATTCTGTAATACCTTCTTCTTCCTTTGTTTTATTAAAGTAATAATTGCACATATAGAAGATTGTGGAACAACATATAAAAAAATAGCAAATTTTGCTTATTTCAGAGAGTAGAATTGGAGAGGGAAGATGAATTCTTTGCAACTATTTGGTTGTAAAATAACCAATAAAGTCCTGTATGTAGTCTTTAGGGTGAAAAGCCAAAAATAATTAGTATTTATAGAAAGATTGAGAAAACAATATAGAGGTAGAAATGTAGGAAGAATCTGCTGCTTTAAATTCATATTGTGTATCTTTAGTTATATATTGGCTTTTGTTACTATACAGACAGAATTTAGAATATGTAAAATTATATATTTATAAAAGCATGTACCTTTTCATTTATTTCATGGGCATCTTTCCATATTGATACATATCCATTTACTTAATTTTTTGAAAGCAAATAGAATTGTAAAATATTTTGGGGGGAGACTTTTTAAAATTTAAATATATACACAGAAAACTGTCCAGCTTAATGGATACTTAAAAGTCAAGTGAGGATACTGATGTAACCATCCCCCAGATCAAGAGAAAGAGCAACGCTGGTCACCACACAAACCTTCCTCATTCTAACTCCCGGGCAGAAACCTTCTCCCTTCTATATGGGTAACTACTATTCTGATTTCCATCCCTATAGATTAGTGTGTCTGTTTTGTAACTTTATATAAAATGAGTCATGTATAATTATGTATGGGTTTTGTCTATGTGTGTCTGTGTCATAAGGTTTTTCAGTCAATACATTTTTGTGATGTTTATCCATGTCATTTCATATAGCAATAGTTTATCCTTTTCCTTTTGAGTATAGTAGTCTATAGTAGAATGTGTAGATACCACAGTCACTGTATTCTATTGTTGATGGGCATGTAGTTGTTTCACATTGGTGACTCTTACGGAAATGTTTATTGGAGCCTTCTTGTCTCTTTTGAACATACTTCTGTTGAGCAATTGCTAGGTTATAGAGTGTATTTATGTTCAGATCTAGCAGTTATCATCCAACTATTTCCCAAAGTAGCCCTGCCATTTATTTTATCCTTCCATCGGCACTACGAGAGTTTTATTTGCTCTATAGCCTTGCCAACATTTGGTATTGATGGCTTTTCATCTGTTTGGTTGGTTCTCCTTTTTTGTTGTAGTGTTCTGGGGTTTTTTTTTTTAATGGCTTTTTATAAACATTACTTTTAAAGCCTACAAGTGTTTTGTTATATAAATATACTCTAACTTAACTAAAGTCCATTTGATGAGATTTTATCTTCCTCTCTCACCTCAGCAGCCAGAACCTGGACAGCTCTGATGTCTAGTGGGTTCTGTGGTTTGTTCTGTGTATGATCTGACTGTCTGAGGAAGATTTCATATTGGAACCAATTAACAGAGCTGATAATATATTTTGTCTCAACAGATTTTTCTCAAGTTTTCTGTTTTAAGTAGTATGATACCAATATGAAGAATCCGTGTAAAATAGTTTTATTTTGTTGACATGATTTTCAATGCTGATTTTATGATGGTGGTTTTCTTCATTTTTTGAAAAAGCAGTATAGGCCAGGTGTGGTGGCTCATACCTGTAATCCCGGCACTTCGGGAGGTCGAGGCGGCCTGGCCAACATGCTGAAACCCTGTCTCTGCTAAAAATACAAAAATTAGCTGAGCTTGGTGTTACATGCCTGTAGTCCCCACTACTCAGGAGGCTGAGGCAGAAGGATCACTTGAACCCAGGAGGTAGAGGTTGCAGTGAACCAAGATCACCCCACAGCACTCCACCCTGGGCAACAGAGTCAAATTCTGTTTTAACAAAAAAAAAGTTGTATAAAAAATACTGTAATGTCTGAAACTAGACTTTTGGTGAAAGCTGATTTAATTACCCAGAAGAATTTGCATTTTCTTAGAAGAAGCATACAGTGTTAGCTACCAATGCCTGCATCACATAGGTCTTTAGTCCATTGGAAAACTGCTGTGTAAATCATTTGAGAATATTATCACTTAGGTTTTAGAAAACTGTTTGAATTTTGCCTTTTGAAATTGAAAGATGTTTCCACGCTGGGCATGCTGGCTCATGCCTGTAATCCCAGCACTTTGGGAGGCGGAGGCCGGAGGACCACTTAAGCCCAGGAGTTAGAGAGAAGCCTAGGCCACATTGTGAGACCCTGTCTCCACAAAAAAAAAAAGGAAGAAATTAGCTGGAATTGGTGGGGCCCAGCACAGTAGCTCATGCCTGTAATCCTAGCACATTGGGAGGCTGAGATGACAGGGTGTGCTGAGCCATGATTCTGCCACTGCACTCCAGCCTGAGTGACAGAGTGAGACCCTGTCTCACAAAAAGAAAAAAGATTGTTCCAGTCAGAGGAATTTGCTTCACAGTCTTTTTTTTTTAACCCTTCCCTCGCTGGATTCCTGAAATTTTCTTTTGACATAGGTTTTTAAGTTTGTGAAACTCTAGGGGCTTGCTTGTAATGAGCTAAACATGATCCCTGGACCTCCTGCTTTTTCTGATGTTAGAGGGTGTGATTACTTCATGATAGCTACTCTTCCCGCTGGTCATTATAGCTTTAAACAGGTGTTGGCACAGGTGGTATTCAGTCATATTTGGTTACCATCAGTAACTTTGGGAGGTTTTAGGTGTTGGTAACCTTCTCTGGTAGCTGAATGCTCTTTTGGAAAGTGCCTTGTGGGCTTATAGGACAGTTTTGTCTTGCCCATTGTTACTTGCTTTTGCCAGTTCGTACTGAATTATTCATTTTTTGGACTGACTATGAATGACCAGAATGAGCATGTGATTCTCATACTAGTAAGTTTTAGACATGCTTTTTTACTTTCAGATATAGAGATTCTTTACATTTCTAAGTAATTGCTGTCAAGAGCTTCTAGGAGACAGCAGAAAACTGTTTTATATTCTGTTCGGTTTTGTGGAAAGCATGTGTTGGAAAAATGTCTTTAGCTCTTGAGATTTCTTTAGAGGTCATATTGTAGCATATCTCTAAGTCTGCTAATTCTTCTCTGTGGACTCTAAAAATGCCTAAATGAATTAACAAATAAGCCAAAAACAACGTTATTGAAGACAGTATTTTCAATGACCTTTTGATTCCTAGCCCCTAAATCTTTTGGTCTGTATCCAGAATGAGTAGCAAAACTTGCTGACTTGACTTCCTTGCTCAATAGCTGTTAAAATTTTTATGATTCTAAATCGGGGCAGAGTGGAGAGCAATGGTAGTTGAAGGAGCACAAATATAATAAACTCTGACGAGTAACTTTAGGAATCTCTTTATCTCAGATTCATGGACCTTTTTTGGAGATTAATTTTAGAGGCCATTGTCAGGTCTATAAACTGCTTTGACGTCTAAGAGACAATTTCTGAGTATTTCCTAGCCAGAGCAGCCAGGCTTTACAAAGGAATCCAGTAATAGTTTGCTCAGGTGGCAACTTCCTTATAGACTGGACACAGAGCATAAAGCACCCAGTAACCTAGAACCAAAAGAACCTTTATTAATTTCACTGTAATTTCAGTGCCCCCCAAAACCTGTTTCTTTTTCTACATAGGTATCAGTCAGAGCCGGATCTCTCACTGGCTGTTGCAGCAGGGATCAGACCTGAGTGAACAGAAGAAAAGAGCATTTTACCGATGGTATCAACTTGAGAAGACAAACCCCGGTAAATAGCATTTCCTTTTATTTATTGCATCTGAAACAAGACAGATATAATGAATTACTTTAATGGCTCCATGGTGCTAACTTGTTGAGTAGGATAGTTTCATACTTTACTATGGTTGCTTTATGCAGAAAAACATTCTTAATGGTAAAAGCTAAACTTTGATTGTGATAAATTTTATTTTGTCTGATGTTATCTAGTCGTGTTCACTCCTTCCCCTAAGACACCTCTTTGCTTTCAGGTTATATGATATTTTTATCCATAGTTGGAAAGAACACCGTGAGTGTTCAGTGGCTGATTTTATTTTCTTCAGCTACGTAACTACATAAAATTCCATATCTTCTTGTTTTTTGTTCGCAAATCTTGTTTGAATTACTAATGTAAATTTGATATTTTTATTTAGTTCACACTATACCATATCCAGTGATCTCTGCCAATGATTTTTTTTTTTTCTAATTCTAATGACCTGGGAAATGGATGTGGCTTTGGACTTTAGGATGCAGCTGCCCTGATAACTCTCAGGAGCAGCAATAGATTGAAAAGCAGAATGAAATCTTAAGGAAAACTAAGATGACAAAAACTTTTATGTCTAGAGTTGGAAGAAGTAGGCAAGATCTATTCAAGATACTTTTAACAGGTGATTTTATAAAGTAAAACATGAAGTTGTGGTACTATCTCAACCTATACTTTACACAGGCAAGTGGCAGTGAGCCTGCTCTCAAGTATAAAATTAAGATTATGTTGTGTTCTGTAATGCTGCAACCTTAAAACCTTTGCAGGAGACTAAATCACTAGTTGAAATATTGCATAATAATAGCATTGGCTCTGAGGTAGAAATAAAGAATGTTACAGAGATTTATTTTTGTGTGTAGGTATGTGAGAAGGTTTTTTTCCCCCCAAAGATCACTTTGTCATTCCAAATGGTCCAGGCAGGATGAAACAGAAGAGACCATATCAACCTCTACAATAATATAAAAAATCTACTCTGACCCCCAATTTTTATTTTGAAATGTTTCAGATGTATAGAAAATACAAAAGGCTAAACAGTAGACACGTGTTTACTCTTTCTTAGATATAATAATTACTAACATTTGGCCAGGTGCAGTGGCTCATGCCTGTAATCCCAGCAGTTTGAGAGGCTGAGGCAGGCAGATCACTTGAGGCCAGGAGTACGAGACCAGCCTGGCCAACATGGTGAAACTACCGTCTCTACTAAAAATACAAAAATTAGCCAGGTGTGGTGGCACATGCCTGAGGCTCCAGCTACTTGTGAGGCTGAGGCAGGGGAATTGTCTGAACTCAGGAGTGGAAATGGTGCCACTGCACTCCAGCCTGGATGACAGAGGGAGGCCCTGTCTCAAAAAAAAATTATTATTAACATTTTATATTTGCTTTATTCCTATAAAAGAAATAAAGATTTATATATGTGTATTTGTGTGTATTCAGCATTCATCTCTTAAAAATAAAGGTAATCTGTATTTCCACAGTCTCAATTATTATACCTAAGAAAATCAATAATCATTCCTTATCATCATTTTATGTCCAGTCTGTAGAATGTCTTTTGTAGCTCTTGTTTTGTTTTGTTTTGTTTTTGTTTTTAGTATCTCTTTTAGTTGGCAAATTGGGATGTCTCTTTAGACTCTTTAGTCACCCAAACTTTTTTTTTTTTTTTTTTGGTGACATGAACTTCTTTATTTTTTTTGAGACGGAGTTTTGCCCTTGTTACCCAGGCTGGAGTGCAATGGCACGATCTTGGCTCACCGCAACCTCCGCCTCCTGGATTCAGGCAATTCTGCCTCAGCCTTCTGAGTAGCTGGGATTACAGGCACGCGCCACCATGCCTAGCTAATTTTTTTGTATTTTTGGTAGAGACGGGGTTTTACCATGTTGACCAGGATGGTCTCGATCTCTTGACCTCGTGATCCACCCGCCTTGGCCTCCCAAAGTGCTGGGATTACAGGTGTGAGCCACCGCGCCCGGCCGAACTTCTTAAACCATGTACAGAATGTCTCACATGCTAGATTTTTCTATTTATTTTTAATATCAAATATCTTATTTCTATATCTCTATATTTCTGTAAACTGGAAGTTAGAATTAAGCTGAAGTCAGGATTCAGGTTGACTATTTTAGGCAAGAAAACTTCATGAATTATTTAGAGAGTCACATAGTAATGGCAGCAGTTTACTTTGAAATGCATCAAAAAATAAAATGGCTTGACATATAGTGAAATGGACAGGTATGTGATAAAGTACATATAGTAAAATATGTGATATAAGTATGGTTTTCACTTAAATTCTTTCACTATTGCATGTTTAAATTTTTTTGCAATAAAATACTGGAGAAAAATACTTTGTAGGTAATATTTACCTAATATTGCCACATATGAGAAGCCTGTCAGCATTAGGATGTTGTAGCATTATTCATATGCTAAGTTTGATGATTTTGTTGAAATGGTGACCACCAGATCTTTTCTTTGCCGTTTGTGAATAATCTTTAGGATGACATTTTGCCCCTAGATGAATATCTTTTCCTGCAGCAGCTTTCATCAATTGCATTAGCATTCATTGATGATCCTTGACTGAATCAGTTATTCTTTTTTGTTTTTTTCTGAGACACAGTCTTGCTCTGTCTCCAGGCTGGAATGCAGTGGCGCAATCGGCTCACTGCAACCTCTGCCTCCCGATTCAAGTGATTCTTACTCCTCAGCCTCCAGAGTAGCTGGGACTACAAGCACACACCACCACTCCCGGCTAATCTTTGTATTTTTAGTAGAGACGGGATTTCCCTATTTTGGCAAGGATGGTCTCGGTCTCTTGGCCTCGTGATCGGTACGGCTCAGCCTCCCAAAGTGCTGGGGTTACAGGCGTGAGCCACTGCACTAGGCCTGAATCAGTTATTCTAATGGGGATTGCAAAAGGAGGTAATCAGCTGGTAATACCAAATTCCCACACTGGAGTTTCAATGCTGGGTCTGATCTGGCTCTGAACTAGAAACAGGAAGGAGGACTAAGGCGCAGCTCTAGGGCCGCAGCACATTTGTTGCAGCTCATCGGACGGGGGTCCAACTTTAGCACTAGGCTGGTAGTGTTCTTTTGAAGCTGAGTTTTGTTTTTTTTTAATTATTGTTATTTATTTTAGCATTTAGTCTTATTTCCTATTTTAGTTTATCTTGAAATCAGAGTTGGGCCCACTTATTATCAGGAAATTGGAGGAAGGTAGAAGGAGGGAGTTGGAACTAACAGCGTTCATCCAGCTGATCCTTAGGAGCTGATTTATTTAAAGATGTAGTGCCTCCTTTTAAGGCGTTCCTCTAATTATATGCATTTGTTTTTTAGTGAGGTTGCATTATTGTCACCTTTTTAAAGTAGTTTCAATTTTTTTTTTTAAATCAAATCCTATCTACTAGTTTTCTCAGTGAGGTTTTTCTGTGGGACATAATTTAAAGGTAACTGGAGATAAGAGGGCAAGTTCATAATTGCCAATTGGTAGTTGCTGTATTAACAGCAGTTGGGTATTAGCAATTGAAATCTGTTTATCTTTTTCTTTGCATTTTCACCTTTATTATAAAGGCTAATATGGCATAGAATTTTTTCTAGATAAATGTGATTTTACTTAGTTGACTGTAAAATAACCTTTGATTTTAGCTAAAGGATGGTGTCATTTCTTACTCCATTGACACTTTGGAGCTACTGTTATGTTTGGATAAGATGAACTAAAATTATGTTAGCTTATAGGACATCAGATCCTTCTTTGCAAGTCATTTCAGAACTGATTAGAATCCACTCAAATGTCCCTCAGCTGAGAACTGGTTAAATAAATTAATGTCATGTCTGTACAATGGAATCTTTTGGAGCAATGTAGCTATTTTTTGAAGGCAGCTTTATATGAATTAAATGTATATGAGGTGACATGGAATTCATAAGTAAAAAAGGGACATAACAGTATCAAGGCCATGTTTCCATAGGGGAACACACACACATACACACACACACACACACACACACACACACACACAGATATATGTGCTTACATAAGCATAGAAGATGTCTGAAAAGCTATGTTAGGAACTGGGAAGAACAGCTCTGTGAAGGGGAACTGAGTGGGAGTACATGGGTAAGGAGTTAACTAAACAACCTAATGTATCTTCCCCTGCCTCCCACCCGCGGCGGATACGGAGTCTTGCTCTGTCGCACAGGCTGGAGTGCAGTGGTGCAATCTTAGCTCACGGCAACCTCTCTACCTCCTGGGTTTCATACAATTCTCCTGCCTCAGCCTTCTGAGTAGCTAGGATTACAGGTGTGTGCCACCATGCCCAGCTAATTTTTATATTTTTAGTACAGACAGGGTTTCACCATGTGTTGGCCAGGATGGTCTCGATCTCTTGACTTGGTGATCCTCTCCCTTTGGCCTCCCAAAGTGCTGGGATTACAGGTATGAGTCACTGTGTCCGGCCCCTAATGTATCCTTCTAAATTCTGTACTATGTGCTTGTATTATATATTTGAAAAATAAAGTGTAATAGGAAGGAGGGAGAGCGAGACCAAAAGAAATCAATCTGCCTTGTAAGATTAAAAAGAAAAGGAAAGAAAAGATTGAACAAAAGAAAGGAAGAAAGAAAGAAAAGAAGAGAGGAAAAGAAAGAAAGGAAGAAGAAAAGAAAGTAAGATGGGCTTATATGGTCCAGATCTGCTTTTGAGAAGCAGGTAGGAAATAAGTTGTCAGTGATTTTTATCAAGTAATTCTTTTATTTCATAAATTTTTTTCTGTCTAGGACAGATAGCTCATTAGGGGAAATGTAAATAGTGTCATCCCTTTACATATATTCTGAGAAGAAAATGCAAAATTAAGAAAAGTAACAAAATGAAACATTCTTTTTTCTGGTTTCTTCTGTAAACTTAAGCATTTAGAAAACAAATATGTTTGTATATTCTGTGACTCTATTCCAGGGCCTTAGAGCATTTTCTTTTTATACTTTGAGTGAAGTTCTTTTTTTCAGCCTCTTCAGTCTGGATACAGTTGGATATGGCTTTTGTTTTTTTTTTTAAGTTTCTCTTTAAGTGGACTCAACAAGAAAAATAATAAAATGGATATTTAGGTTAATTTTACTGATAACCCAGTTGATACAGTGCAGTTCTCTGATAACAGACTCATCATCAGAATTTCCCAGCATAACCGAAAGCCTGCCAAGGCATATTAATAAAACAGGCTGATGGAAACTGATCAAATACATTTTATCTTGTTTCTTATGAAAACACAAGAAAATACCTATTTTTTAAAAAGGAGCAAGTACTAAATTCAACATGGTTGACATCAGAAGTCCCTTTATTTAATTAAATTAAGTTTACTGTCTTTTTCCCTTGTCTAATTTAAACCTCACTGTAGCAGACCGGGTTTGCTGAGTTCCTCTTGGCATGTGGCGCAGATTCTGCATGCTTCTAAATTAAACAAATAAAATTTGCCAAGATGCGTATGCAGCAAATACATGAGATAAGAGTCATCAGAAGAAATGCCCAGTCCTTCATTTGCAGATGGTGAGATCTCAGGGAAACATGTGTGTGACATGGGGGGAGATATGACATTACTTTTGAAGAGGCTAGTTCCTATGGATGGCGTAGATATGATGAGCTCGTATAGTCGCTCACCCAGAGCTAACCCTGATCAGCAAGAACATTATCATATATGTATAGAGAACACTTACCAAAATTTTTAAATCTCTTAACAAATTATGAAAAGGTTTTGTTTTCCTCACAAGTTTACATTTGCTAGGTGAAGGTGCAAAATTTTGTTTTAATGGAAACTTAGATGGGGGGGAAATAAACATTTCTGTAAAGAAATAGACAACACCCTTTTCCTGTTAGAACCTTAGCCAACCCAGAACTCCTGTATTTTACTTCAGAGGAGTTTAAAGGCTTATAAACATTGTTCCTGCATTCTAATATCTTTGTGTTTTTCTGTTAGAGTCAAAAATTTTGAGCCTATTCTTGGATTTTTTCATTGCTTTTCATCCATTTCAACCAAAGCAAGATGAACTAAGTTTTCCAGAACAAATCTATTTGTTAATATTTCCAGAATGCTTTTTGTGCTGTTTTTAACTACCACTACATTGAAAAAGAAAAAGGAGCCAGAAAAAAAAAAAAACCTGAAAAGTAATGTAGTAATACTATGTTCTAAATTAAGTATTTTGATGAGTTTGAGATTATTCAGTTTTCACCTTCTGTGCATAAACTGTCTTGATTTCTTTCATAATAACCAGGCCACTCCTTACTTTTTTCTCCTTTTTCTCCATTTTTCCTCTTGCCTCTTCCTTTTCCTTCCTGCCCAGTTTTGTTTCATCTGAATTATTTCAGTTCTTGAGACTATCTTGACAATACAGAATATTACAAAGAAGCACAGTATTATAAATAAACCCGATACCAAGAAAGAACCATTATTATTACTTGACTTATTTGCTTCAACCTCTTGGTTAAGATTCTTTCTGTTCTCTGATCTTTTGGTACCCGTTTATCACTCTGCTTACTGAGGACTGCAGTTATGGATGTGACCCACTACCTGGAATTCACTGACCTGTTGCCCTCCTCCACCCTTAAACTCTTTATTTACCAGGGTCAGCCCTTGGACAAGAGGTTATATTCCCTTAGCCCATCTATTTCTACCTCTATCCTGATCAGCTATGATAACCGGTTGGCTCTGTTTTAGTCCTTTTTACCCTTGCTGTAGAATAAAATTTACGTAATTTTAATTAGGTAGATTCCAGAGCTCTCACTGTGCTATAGTCCTTGTTTGTTTTCAGAAAAGCACTAAACAGCGTTGAAACCCTCCAGTCCCCAAATTCCTGCTTATGTCTAAACTTTGTTAACTTTGAGTTAGGCCCAGAGTGAATTCCCAGTTTATTTTGGCAGAATGAAACCCTTTTAAATTGTTTAAAGAAGGGTTTCAGTTTAGAGTTTCATGTTGGGTAGAGCAGAAATGTTTTTAAACCAGGGGTCAGCAAACTCTTCATATAAAGGGCCAAACAATAAATATTTTAGGTTTTGCAGGCTATATGATCTCTATCATAGCTACTCAGCTCTTCTGCTCCATGTTTCAGTAAAACTTTATCTACAAAGTTAGGTAGCGGGCATAATTTGCCAACTCTGTTTTAGGGTGAGCTTTAAATCTCTAAAGCATTATGCGATGACAGACTTACTTGTTTGAGCAGAAATGTTAAATAAATATTTACTTTCCATCACATGCTTTAGAAAATCACATACATGTTAAGGGCTGAAACACAAAATGAAAAATGTAAAAATACTCTGACTGATATTTAGGCCCATTGGCCATAATACAAAAGACTGACAAATTTGACTGTATAAAAATTAAGATCACAAAGCACACCATAAAACACAAGTGACAGACCAGAAAAAAAATTGTATTCTGTATGACTAGCAATTGATAAGATTTCTATGTACCAACCCTCCCCCCCGCAAAAAAAGGAACAACAGGAATTCACAAGAAAAGATATAAATGGTCAATAAACAGGAAAATATCCTCATTCTTATTAGTAGTGAAATCTCTATATTAAAGGGAAATTTTTTGCTGCCAAATTTATACATTTGAATAATTAATCATACTCAGTGTATTGGGGGATAAAGGGAAATAAACAAGTGGGGATGATTGTGATTATTTTTATTAGTTATCTGTTCTTATACAACAGACTGCCCACAATTTAACAGCTTAACACAGCCGGCATTTATTATCTCATAGTTTTCATAGATCAGGAATCCAGGAGTGGCTTAGCTGGTTGGTTCCGGCTCAGAGTTCTGTAGAGGTTGCAGCCCAGCTGTCAGCCTTGGCTGCAGTCATTGCGACTGGGTAGTCTACTTGGAAGCTCATTCACATGGATATTGACAGGTCCCAGGTCCTCACTGCCTGTTGGTCAGAGACAGCAGTTCCTCACAATATGGGCCTCGCCATCCACTGCCTGAGTGTCCTCACATATGGCACCTAGTGTTCCCTTGAGTGAATAAGAGAGAAAGCATCCAAGACAGATGCCACGGTGGCTTCTGTAGTCTGATCCTGGGAGTGACATACCATCACTGTTACATGCTGTTGGTTGTACAGCCTAATCATGGTGCCACATGGGAAGGGACTAAATAATGGTGTGCAGACCAGGAGGCAGGGATCCTTAGGGACCTTGGAGGTTGACATTCACATGGCCGTGCTGGGACTGAATGTGTGAGGACTGGTTTCTATCAACTGGTTTCTACACTTCTCCATGTGGCGTCTGCTGTGGCTGCAGTGTCCAAGATGGCTTTTTCTCTCAAATGCTGGCACCTGGGTGGAGTTCGCACAAGCCCCTGGGGACTATCAGAGCATCTTTCACTCCATGTGGCCTCTCCACCTGGCTAGCTTGGGCTTCCTTGCAACATCATAGTCTCAGGTTAGTTAGACTTCTTATATAGCTACTTGTTTCCCCCAGCACAAGCATTTTAGGAGACCTAGGCAGAACAAAGCATCTGATAACATAGCCTTGAATTGTTTAGGTTTTGAGCAAGAAAACCATGTGTGTCATCATGACTAGCCCAGATTCAAGGGCATGATTAGCCAGAGGTGTGACTTACTGTGAAGAGCCATCTTTGAAACTTGTCCCAGGAAGCCAAGATTATGAGAGATGATGCCTAAGTGTTCTAAAAGTAGGAGCAGTGCAAGGATTATAATTGGTCTGATAATGGAAATATTTTGAAGATGAACTTGCCTATGAATTGGTTATGTAATATGTGGGAGAATTAGAGAAGTGAAAGATTAATCTGAGAATTTTGAGCTGAGCAGTTTGGAGAGTGGCTGTTTAGTTACTGAGCTGGAAAAGACTGCAGGACAGTAGGTTTGAAAAGGAACATCAGGATTGATTAACAAATTGGACATCTGTGGAAGAGAATACATCAAAAGATGTAGCTATTAAGAAGGGTATCTACAATAGATCTGTAAGTCTTGAAGTAGAAATACTATCCATGGTATTATTTGCAAGGTACAATAAAGAGAGTATGAATCCTATAAGGAAGAAATAAATATTTATTTATTAATATTCATTAACAGAATTAATATATTAATATTTGCATAAACCCTACACATTCTAACATGTCTTTCTAGAGCTGTATTAAGAGTTTAAATTAAACCAAAGGCAGAGAGAATTTTTTGAAGGGTTTTAATCAGAAGGCCAATATGATCATAATTATGCTTTAGGAAGATGAATTTAACAGTGTAAGGAGTCAAAGAAGAGTGGAGGAGCCAGGGACTGAACTCTGTGAAAGTATACCAAGTTACATTGAAAGTATGAAATAAGTTCATGGAGGGCAAAGACAAAGTTGCTTTCCCGGTTTTATTCTTAGTTTCTACCCCAGAGTAAGCCACTTGAAAGGGATTTGATAAATGGTGAATGAATGAATAAAATGCATCATTGGCAGTTCAGGCTATTTGAGAAAGGAGTAATCTGAATTAGTAAAATGTCTCAATTATAGGTATTTCTCATTGAAATTTTATTATGTTCAAGAGGTAGCAGAATCTAGTATAACATCAACAGGTAAACTTATAGAGACCTGAATTAGACAAAAAGCACATCAAATATCATCTTACGCCCTTTCATGCTGTATTTGGCTCCTTTAAAAAAAAAAGAGTGTACAAGAATTAGGGTTATTTTCTACCTGCATAAATTTCTTAAGAGCTCATAATTTGTGTGAATGGTAATGCAAGATTCTGAATATCTAAGGTATATTGTTCAAAAAGAGTATAACTATGAGGCAGGAATTTCAAAAGAAATTTTTCAGAGAAAGATACAAAAAGTTGACACAAGCCAAAGACCATACTTCCCCATTCCTGTAAAGAGGTAGATGTCATAATGGTTTAAAGAAACTGCAAGATATTTACTAAAAATGTCTTGTTTATTTCAGGGGCTACGCTAAGTATGAGACCAGCCCCCATTCCAATAGAGGACCCTGAATGGAGACAAACACCTCCCCCAGTGTCTGCCACATCTGGTACTTTCCGACTACGACGAGGGAGTCGATTTACCTGGAGAAAGGAGTGCCTGGCTGTTATGGAAAGGTACATGTCACCCTTTTCTATGAAAAATCTCCCAAACGTAGGGAAGATACCAACTTTGGATAGATTGGGACAGTTTTCATGTCAAACAAGAAATTTGGTATCTGGTTCTATCTCTAAAAGTACTTTGGAATATTGTAAGTGCTGTATTATTGGAATAAGGTGATCTTAGCATTGAGAATTTATAAAGCTGGAGTTAGCATCTATCAATTTATTTTACTTATAATATTGTCCCCAATAATTTAAGAAATGTTAGAATAAATATTTTTTGAATTCAGATCTTTGTATTATATTTTGGAAAGAAAAACTCTTTGAAGTCTTCTTTTCATCCAAAATACTGAATAATTGTGTATAGGAGACTACTGAGATTCAGCTTTCTTATGAGTGTGGTCTAAGTAAGCATTGTCCGAAGGTTAAAAATACTTACTTTTGACTTTGATTTAGTAATTTGTGCTCTCATTCTAGCACCAGTACCTGGTACTCAGTGATTTTTTTTAACCTGAATTAGACCTTAGCTTCAATTTTCCCATCTGAAATGGTATAAATTAATTATGAATGTGAAATTTTGGCATACTTAGCATAGATCCTATAGCAGAATTATCTTCATCATCTACTTGTAAGTGATGTTTACAGAAATTTGTTTCAGTGGAATTTTGTTTATATTCAACAAGGTAATAATGTTCCAGCTGTACATTTTTCTTATCTGACCTGACTTGTAGAATGGTATATTGGACAGGGCACTGGACTAAGAGTCAGAAGACCTAAACCCAGCTAACTTTGTTTAGGTCACAGACTCTGAGGTATAACTTCATGTCTAAAATGAAATTTTTCGATAGCCAGTATGTCATCTAAGAGCCATCTCTCATCCTGCTACATTCTGATTATTTCCCAGCTCATGAACTTCACTGCCTGAAAGAGAGGGAGATTTAAAAGGCCAAAATTGAGATGTTTTTGTTCGTCTGATATAGTTGAAATTAATAGGTTTGCTTAAGGTGAAGGATAGATCCAGTATCCAAAATGAGACTACAGGTTATCCATTGATGTTGTCATCTATTCCTTTCATCACTTTATTATAGATAAGAGCAGAGCCATTTATTGAATAATGAATCCTTATGTGCTTGAATCATTAAAGTGAAAGAATGAGACATCATTGTCCTGGATACCTGACATTTACACTCTCCTCTACTTTTCTCATCTAGAAATTTTTATTCTTTTTGAAAATTTCTTTAGAACTTGGCACACAGCAGATGAGAATTAAAACAATGTCTAACTTAAATTATTTGCAGTATTGTACATTTTCCTTTTGGTATTCGTTTCTAACTGGTGTTAAGTTCTAATTGTGCTAGTGATTTGGCCAGTTAGTTTTTTCATAAAAATACCAGTATATATTTATCACAGAATGTCAACCTGAGAAAGAATTAACTTAAAAATTGATGACATTACTATCAATAGGTGTTACTCCTAATGCATTTTCAGGATTGAACCTCACAGACTTAGGGATTCTTATTTTTCCCCAGCAACAAGAATTAGTCACAGAATCACACTGAATTTTAATTAAAAAGATATTGAGCATTTACCCTATTCTATGACTCCTATTTAGTCTTAATTTACGCTTTTTAACATTAATTTTAATTAATAAGTGGCTTTGTCTAATCCAGGAGTTGGTGATCTTCGGCTTAATTTTATGTTACCTGGCACCACTAGAAAGAGGATGTGGTTTATGCCAATAGTTGCAAAAATGCAGAAAGCCTTTTAAAATAATAGTACAGAAGGTCACAGTATGATTTTTATTCTGTAAAAATGGAACTTTTTGTTTTCCAAAATGAAAATTCCTACCATTAGCATGACATATAATATTTTTTTCCTTGACTGAATGGAGGAATAAATACATATGCATAGACTGTAAAACCAGCACAGTGAGCCTTACTCAAATGTTAATATAAGATAAAAGTAAGGCCAGACATGGTGGTTTACACCTATAATTTTGGCTTTGGGAGGCAAAGACAGGAGGATCACTTGAGGCCAAGAGTTTGAGACCAGCCTGGGCAACATAGCAAAACTCTGTCTCTACAAAAAATTCAAAAAATATCTGGACGTGGTGGCATATACCTGCATTCCTAGTTACTCAGTAGGCTGACATGAAAGGATTGCTTGAACTCAGGAGCTTGAGGTTACACTGAGCTGGGATTGCACCACTGCACCCCAACCTGGGTGACGTAGGTCCTATCTCAAAAATAAAAATGAAATTTAAAAAAAGTCAAAAATTATTTCATTCTCCATATATCAAGATAAATTTCAAATGAATCAAAGAAGTGAATCCATGTAAATAATAGAAGAAAATATCAGTGGTCCCTTTATATCCCTGGAAATGGGAAAAATATTTCCTGTGAGTCAAAATCTAAAAGCACTAAGGGAAAAGGTTGATAAATAAGATTACATAAATTAAAAGAAAAATTTTGGAGGGAGGAAAAGCTGAGCGAAGTAAAAGACAAATTAGAAAAAAAAATTGCAACTTTTGTTATCCCTAATAAATGCTCTTAAAAGAGAGAAGACCAACAACTCTATAAAGATAGGAGAAAAAAATGCAAATGGTCCTTGAACATATAAAAATTTATTCAGTCTAATTCATAGAGAAATCCAAATTAAAACTACATTGAGATACTATTTCTCACTTATTGCATTGACAAAAATCCAGAAGTTTGGCAACATTTTCTATTGATTGGGCTGTAGAGAAACAGAAACTCTCATATATTACTTGTAGAAATCCAAAGTGAAACAACTTCATGGAAGGGAATTCAACAATATCAAGGAAAATTACCTTGAGTTTACCCTTTGACTTGACTTTCCTACTTCAAGAAAATTATCTTAGGGCCAGTGGCTCACATTTGTAAATCCCAACCCTTTGGGAGTCTGAGGTGGAAGAACCACTTGAGGTTAGGAGTTTGAGACCAGTCTAGGCAACATAGTGAGACTCCATCTCTACAGAAAATACAAAAAATTATCCAGGTGAGGTAGTATACACCTGTAGTCCCAGCTGCTCAGGAGGCTTAGGCGGGAGGATTGCTTGAGCCCAGGAGTTTGAGGCTGTAGTACACTGTGATCACACCACTGTACTCCAGCTTGGGTGACAGAGCAAGACCCTATCTCAAGAAAAAAAAAGAAAAAGAAACATCTTAGAAATATACTGGCAGAACTATGAAAAGATAACAACACTGTTTTTACTAATTTCAAAATATTGAAGATGTCTTTATGGCTATAGTTACTGCAGAGTGATTAGGTCAATAAATTATAGCACATATGTAATTGGATGTTGAAGCCCAGGTAGTGGAGTACTATGCAGATAAAGAACAAAAAATTACATACAGTGATCTTCAGGCTATAACATTAAGTTAAAAACAAGGCAGAATCATCTGTATATAGTACAAAGCTATCATTTATATATTTGCTTATAACTTATTTAAAATGGAGGAATAAACCATAAAATAAAATGGTTATCAATAAAAGAGAAACAACTTGGAAGAAGGAGAGGTAGAAGCTAGATTTCTCCAAAAATACTTTGTTTTGACCTGTAACTAAATTACATAATTATAAAACAAAATTTAAAATTGGGGAAAAACAGAGCGGGGAAGGAGGGGAAGGTGATCCTTAAAAAATAACTAAAATAAAACAAACCTGTGTATCAAAATAGTGACGTAAACACTCAAGAATTCTGTCATGTGTTTATAACACAGTAATTTCACTATACTTCCAAGTGGGAAAGAGCTTAAGAATAAAAAGAAACACCAAATCTTACACTGTTTTTACTAAATTTGGTAATACAGATACTGCTATTCAGGAACTATTTTTATTTACACAGCTTGGCAGGTATAGATATAGATGTAGGTACAGATAAATACTCATGTTAATGTTTTTAGGAACCAAGATTGTCAGTGCAAGGGAGAAGAGTAATATGAAATCAAAAGAAATAAAACACTGTAGTCTTCTGTGTGTCTGTTTGCATAGACAGAAGTTTATCTTGATTTAAAAACAAAAGCCTTAATGAGATAGAATTCATCTATTTAAAGTGTACAATTTAATGCTTTTAAGTATATTCACGGAATTCTGCAACCATAACCTCAGTCAGTTTTAGAACATTTTTATCAGCCCCTTTCCTTTTTGAGACAGGGTCTTGCTCCGTCACCCAGGCTGGAATCTAGTAACAGGATCAAAGCTTACTGCAGCCTCAAACTCCTGGGCTCAAGTGTTTCTTCCACCTTAGCCTCCCAAGTAGCTAGGACTACAGGCACGTGCCACCATGCCTGGCTAATTTTTATATTTTTGTAGAGACAGGGTTTTGCCATGTTGCCCAAGCTGGTCTTGAACCCCTAGGCCCAAGTGATTCACCTGCCTCGGCCTCCTACAGTACTGGGATTATAGACATGAGCCACTGAGACAGCCTGAATTATAGTAACCATAAGATTGATCAGTGTATTCAGTGTTATCTTCCGGATTAATTTATTAGAAAATTCCCCATTAACCATCTACCTGATAGTTTTAGAGCAGTGGTTCTTAAATCTAGATGCATATTAGGATCACCTTAGGAGCTTTTAAAACTGTCAGGGGGCTTCACCCCTGACCGACTGAATCTTAATCTCTGGGTGTAGAACCTAGACAGAGGTATATTTTGAAAAGTTCCCAAGTGATTCTGAAGTGTAGCCAGGACTGAGAATCACTGTTTTGTTATCCATTGACGATTGTTTCCTGGTCATTTTTTCCATAAGGAGTCACAAAATTGTTTTGAAATTTGTATATTTCTTGTACATTAATCAGCTGGAATTCTTCTGTAAAGAACTTTCCCTCTTGAACTCTTTGGTTACCCTAAAATATACTCCCTCACAAATGTGTGGCAGCAGGGAGGGAGCTAACATGTAAGTAATTCTGGAACTGAGAAGTAAATGCTGTTATGACGAAAGGCGCATGAGACGTAAGCAAGTAGAGAAAAGAGGAAAACTACACCAAAGTGG